GCATTTCCGTGACCTTGTCTTTCGACCACCTCGAGTTCCCGGTTTTTTTGCGTGTCCTGTCCTCTTGCATTGTTCCCATTGTGTTGGGACACCTTGGTGTGGTAGGCTGTGTATAATAAGTTCCCGAATTGGGTATTCGGAAGGATTATGTTGATGTATTTAGATATAGATAATTCGTTCAGTGAATGTAGTGTATTTAAGAGAGTGTTTTATCCCGCTTAGGATTTTACCCCCGCGTATTTCGTGGGAATTGTGATTTAATCGCACTGCGCTTTGGATCTAAATCTTTTCAGGAACGTGGATAAATCGGTTTAAAGAGTGTGATTGGTGATTTATTTTTCATTTTTTCCACGAAAGTGTTTCATTGAAAAATTTGTGACTTAAGTGTGATTGTGTTCCGGGTAATGATCTCTTGCGCCGGTGGTCGAAGTTTTCGAGTGATTATCTGCTGGATGATTGACTGGAATTCCTTTCTTTTTCTTTTTTTTTAAACGTGAGCCAATCTGATTGTGGAAAAAATCGAGGTCTAATTCAGCTAGCTTGATTGTAGCGTTTTTCTCGATTTTTTGGTGGGTCGAACACGCTGTAATTTTCATGAGCTGATTTTTGTAGCGAAATTTTCTTGAGAAAAATATCCTTTCCGGTTGTGTTCGAATTTCCGAACCGCCGAAATTTGATTTGACCTTCTTTTAAAAAAATGTTTGTTATGAGAAAGCTTTTTTCTGTTCCCATGTGCAAACACAAGCGTAAATTCTGTGTGCTGGTATTCTTTTGCAGTTATTTTCTGTTTTTCAAAGTTGATAAAAGTCCTTCTTGAATTTTCGATGACTTTTTCCCATTTTTACATAGCAAGAGAAGATATTGAAAATTGTTACTATTTCATTTTTCCTAGACACTCACAAAATGACCATAACTTTAAAAACTGCATTTTCCTCATTTTCAGGAACAAAAAAATAAGAATTTGAATCAAGTAGGATTAAGCTTGACAACTTATATTACAGTACTCTTAAATTAATTTTATAAATAAGAGAGGATCATTTTTCTTGATCTTTGAAAAAATGTGATGTTTTAATTCATAACTTGATACAGTACAATTCAAGCATTTGTTGGCCAAAAATTTCCATGTGAGCCACTCCCCCCCCCCCCATAATAATTTTTTATGAATTTTTTGTTGGGTGTGACTTTTCTCATGCAGGGACTCACTGAATACCAAATGAATAATATACAGTAAAATGCTAAAATGCAGTTTTCCAGATATTTACTCTTAGCAGATATTTTATAGGCTGCTGCAATGGATTGCATATTTTTGTCTTCAACTAAATGGAAATCATGTTTTGTTCAACATAAACTCCTGTATTTTGCCTCAGTGAACATACAGTATTACTTTTGCTAAACTGGATCAACCCACTATGTACAGTGGTACCATGTAGCACAAACACCTTGCACTACAAATGTTCTGTAGAGCATATGCTTGTGTTGTGCTGTTTTTAGTACAGTATCATGCTAGAAGAAACATTTATTTAAAAAAAATTTCATTTCCATACAAACAAGAAAACTTTTAGTCCCTGTCTGAATTCACTTAGGAAAAATGCATTCAAAACCTCCCTAACTCAATGGCTNTCAACTTACGACGGCCCCATGTTATGACGTCCATCCTGGAATGGATTGATGACGTAAGATGGGGGCCCACTGTATTGGCAAACCAACCCTTCCTTTGAACTGCAGCATCCTGTCAACTTATACAAGAAGGAATTCAAAACCCAGAACATCATCAATTACAATTTTTTGTAATTTCTCTTTCTTACCCTTAACAAAAATGCTTGTTTTCCATACTTGAAACCTCCCTATCTTTGATTTTTTCTCATCCCTTGAAGTTTGATTTGAACTATGCAAATTGTGATTTGTATGAAGAACAAATGTTACAAAAAACATGGTACTTGAGCAAATTTATGTTTTGTATAAAATGTACAGTATTTTTCTAATTATTTAGATATATAATTTTTTTTCTTTCAGATTCGTGTGTTTGTTGAAAACAGATCATTACCATATTAATTGTCTTGCTAGCCATGCTATCAGAAGTTAAAATGACCATCGGCTTATTCGGACTCATGGCAGTCGGAGTCGGAAGCTTCTGCACCTACCGTTCCTTCAGCACTCATCCAAAACACCATCCAGAATTATCCGCACTCAACATGGGAATATTCCAAGCCTTCTCAGTCTTACTCCTATCAGAAGGCTTCCTTCTCATCATCTCCTCTGCTCTTCTCTACAAGACCGCATCCGTTCGAGTGATGGACTCGGAGAAAGAAGACGAAGAAAAAGCCGGAACCAAGACGCAAGACGTGCTATGCACCGACGCCGGAAGAAGAGGCGACGCCGACGAGGAAGAAACGGACTCGCGACTCGATTCGTTCGCCAATTGTCTAGTAGGTGTCGCGTGCTGTATGGGGTGTTCGGCGGGCCTGTTCCTCGTGTGGTACGTGGAGGAGTACGCGACGGTGTTTGAGGTCATGGACGAGGTCTGGGACTTGGCCAAACTGGTTGCCATTGGCGTGGCGGCGTTGAATGCCCCGAGTGCCATTCTGGTGCTGTGTGTGACCACTTGGAGGTGTGGCAAGGGGTGTTGGGCATTGTGTAGCATGAGGTCGGAGACGATGCGAGTCCAACAACAACAACTGGCTGATACTACTGATGATGCGGGAAAGTGATGATGCGTTGATTGCGATTATTATTATTTTTTTTATTGAAGAGAGAGAGAGGAAGAAGGCTGTTTTGTTTTCCATGGCTCACTTTTGGAAGGTGAGAAAAAGGAATCTCTCAAATACTGCGAATTTTAAATCTTGGTCAGCGTCTCAGTTACCCTTTTTACTTGAGTACCAAGCACTCCATTTTCTAAAAATTGACAGGAGAGAAAGATTTACATATCATAGACTGGTGTTAAATTTTAGAAAGTTTTAGGAGGTTAGGTGTGCATTATATGTATATTCTAATGGGAAAATTTTGACAATTTTATCCCCTTGTTAGTAGAGGATTCTTGTCCATCCTGCAGCAAATTTGGTTTTTTTGTGGGGTAGGTGCATTTCAGTTTCACCAAAGGTCAGTAAAATGCCCCCATGTTGGGAAAAATCCACATAGACAATATCATTTTGTCTTCAGAAACCCCCAATGTGCATAGTATGCTAAGAATTCATGAAAAAATACCACCCGGAGGCATTTCTTATTTTTAAGGGAAGGTTTTCTGCAGGATTATACAAAACATCAAACTTTTCCCTAACTTTGGCCTTGGTTCAACATTTTTTTTTTTCAATTTTTAGGGCTCATGGATGCACAATTTCACAAAAATATCCCAAGTTTGCTGCACAATTAAAAAAATAACTTGCTGTAGTATAGGAAAAATTGAATGCTGGTTGAATTCAGCACCAATTTATGTCTGAATGCAAATTTGGGCATTTACCATATTTACTCAAGTATCACCTCAAGTAAGGTGCGCAGAGGGGTTTTTTGGTTGGAAATTTGACTAAAATCTTATACCTGAGTCATACGCGCACCCCAATTTTTAGTGAATCTATAACCACAAAATTTTGAAAAAAAATTAAAAAAATTTGACTTAAGACATAAATTGAACAAAAATCAGATCAATTTTCAACTTTATCAGTACGAAAAGTTTTATTGTTACATTTGTTTGAAATTTCTCCATTACAATTAAGTATAATGCACACATAGCTTCCTAAAACTTCTTGAAAAATATGTACCTGCTTATGACGCGCACCCCTTTTTTCTTCTGAAATTTGAGAAAAAAGGTGCAAGTGGTACTTGAGTAAATATGGTATATTTTTGAAATATTTGCAATTTTAGAGTCACTAAAATTGGGGTGTTTGGAAAATATTACAGGAATGCTTGAAGAATTGATTATGTGAAAGGGTTTCTTTTTTATCTCTTTATGTGTGGGGTTTTCAGAGGATTTTTTATTTGGATTAAGAGAATTTTCAGAATTATTTTCATTTGCTACTGATGTATTGAAGACTGATTATTACTTTCTTAATTTTTGAGACCCACCCTTCATTAGATACATGCCTATTTTGGACACTAATAAGCGTTTATTAGAGGGAATAAAATGAGATGGATTAGGATTTAGAATTCAACTGAAATTTCTTGACCCTTCTGTGTCATTATTTGGTTACTCTTGAAGGATTTGCTTTCACACAATTTGCCAAGCACACCTAAAAGTATAAAATATAAATGAGTTTTTTATTTTTTTTATTTCTGGAAATAGATTAATCACAATGCAGAGGAGCTGAAAACCCATGATTCTTTTAGCAAACATTCTAAAAAAATGTTCCACATGTGCTCATTTAAATGAGATTTCTCTTTTTGATGGAAAGTGACTTTTCTCCTGTCATTACAAATAAAATATCCCACAATAATTGTGTGTTTTTAATTTTTTCTGGTAAACTGTATGAGAATTAATATTAAACCCTTGCCTTAATTTTGGGAAACTTGGAATCAAAAATTGTATTCCTCTGAAGCGTTTCTTTCTCTAGTTTTGCAAATTGGCATTTTTTAAATTTTTAAAACGTTTAAAAATTTGTGATGATTCAATGTGACATTGAACTGTATGAAGAACACTTTTTTAATGTATTAGGTGATTAAATACACTCAACCTAACTTTACTGGTGCATCAAATCAAAACTAATGAAAGGAAAGGCATTTAGTCAGAAAAAAAAGACGTTGAAGGCTAATTATTGATATCTGGAATTTTGTTCAGTTTGTGCCACAGGTTACACAGTTACTCAGTTAATTTAACGTAAATATTCTACGTTTTCTTATATCATTTCCGAGGTTTTTGGATTATAAACTTGTCCAAAAAGTCGCTTTGGAAGGCTAATTAATATCGGATCGAGTTTATAATTACTACTGATTAATTTTGGTCGCCTTGATCATGTTTTCGGTGGATTTTGAGGTTTACGGGAAGGTCCAAGGTGTTTCTTTTCGGAAGGTGTATTTTTCGAATTCTATTCATTTATTCGATTTTCATGTTTCGAGATAAATTGAAGAAGTATTGGTTTTTTTTGTTTTTCTCTTGAAGCACACTGTGACAAGAGCAAAGGAACTGAGTCTCACTGGCTGGGTGAAGAACACTGCTCATGGCTCTGTCATTGGCCACATGGAAGGATCCACTCCTCATATCCAGAACATGCAAGTTGTTTTGTTGTTGTTGTTGCATAAACTTTAGTTTTCAATTTTTGTCAATGAATTTTCACTGCAAATTGTTGTGTACCCTATTTGCTGTACTAATTTCCATGCACACATTTTTTCTGAAATTTGAGAGGATAAGTTGAGGTGCTTGTTGTATGAAAGAGGCAGGTGTGCATTCATTCAAAATGTTTGAGAAAGTTGGATGTGAATGAAACTTGATTAATTGTAATGGGACATTTTGGACCAAGTTCAACACAAAAATCTTTTTAACCCTTGTTTGGCAAAGTTGGAATATTTTTGTAAAATTGTGTCCCCACGAGGGCTCCAAATAAAAAATGTATACAGTATTACTTTTGAACCAAGGCCAAAGTTGGAAAAAAGTCAGATATTTTTTTATAATTGTTCAAAAAATGTTGCTTCAAAAATAAAATAAAAATAAAAATCCTCACTGCATGGGTGGTGTTTTTTCCCAGCACAAGATTGACATTGGGGATTTCTTTAGACAATGACATTTTCTGTACCCAGATGTTTCCCAACTTAGGCACTGACAACTGGGGGGCATTTCAGTGACCTTTTGTCAAACTTAAATAACCCCTCCCCCCAAAAAAATCCTGACTTTGCTACAGGAGGGCAAGGGACCCTCTGCCATACAAATAACGTTGATGGGAAAACTGGGAATTGGTATGATTCATGTCTAAATCTAAAATTTTGGTGTTACATTTTTTGTTGAAATATGTGGTATTAGATTGAAATGTGGTGCACATATCTTCCTTGGGGATGGGGTCTTACTAAAATTTTGATGATTTGATAATATTGATTTTGACGCAACTGGAAAACCAAGGTTCATGTTGTACTCAAGGGTGCATGGTACTCAAGTAAATATGGTAGTTAACCAAGCATGCAGGTGGTGCCCCACAATTTGAACATAATCCATTACAGTGCTGTACTGGACTTGGACTTCAAATTGTGAAGCAGTTTAATTGCAAAGCACAAATTCAATGTTTTCTACATTGTATTTGACATGGTTGTGACTCTCGGTTGGTCAATTTGTGGGGCAGAGGAAAAATTGCAAGGCAATCTCCCTAATATTTCAATCATCAAATTGAAAAGTACCACCTGTACTGGGTTCCTTGACTCAGAATCTCTCCAAAATTGTTGTATCTTCTAATTCCCTTTCAAATCTGAATTCAATAGGTTTGTCTGCATAAGTAATGCCTTGAAACGTGTGTCCTAGGGATGAATGCCTGAAATGTCTTCACTCAGACTCATTAAAGATGCGTAGATGTCGCTCTTGACAAAAGGACAATATTCATTTGATGAATTCATTCTGCTGTTCACGCAATCACGCCTAATATAACTTATAGCAGGTGTTACAGCTGAACAACTGATGCTTGATTAATTTCGAAAAATCTAAGAAAATTCAGGTGACATCTATGTGATAATCATTAAAAATGTAAAGTTACGGGTCTAGGTGAAGTAAGAACAACCATTTTTATTTTAAATTTCCGTTAAATAGAGAGGTTTATTTCGAACTTAATTTCACGAGATCTCGAGCACACAAAAAAATTCCTGTAATGCGTGGTCATAAAATTTGATTGAAATAATTTCTTGAGTCGACTCGATCCGGTTCAAATCCACCGTTTCTTAGGTTTTGCGAAAACGANGATGTGTGTTAAAACTCTTAGAACTTAATAGTGACTTAGTTCAGGTGATAGATGTTATGGTGGGTTTAGGTTAGGTATCTGATCAGTTTAATTTTGCGAAGGTTTCTGTATTTAGCTGAAATTAATTGTGCCTAATCAATTAAGATTAAGTAGTGTAAGTGTCTGCTTAGTTTAAGTTGTGTGTGTGGTTAGCTTAATTTAAGTCAGATGATTGCTTAATTCAGGTCAGATGATTGCTTAATTCAGGTTTGTCTTCTTAGCTTAAATTAGTCTTATTTATTGTGAGTGTTGTTCATTGAGTTGGATATCAGCTTATAGTGACTTATATATTCATTTAAAACCAGTATGGCTGCTTCATTTTGTGGCCAGAATATACTGTATTTTCCCAAGTGCCTGGTACATTCAAGAAGATTAAATCAAATTTTAAGGCTTGCAACTCTTCTTTTCTGCGTAAATATTATTTTAGTAAATTGATGCTAAATTTAGACTTTAAATTTTACTTGATGAATAAAGATAATCTGCATTTTTTGTGCTTCAAACTTCATAAGTTGGTAATTTTATTTCAACCTGAATTGAAACTGTAACTCATTGTACTGCATCTAAAAAAAGGTTTTTTTTAAACTTCACTTTATCTTATTCATGTGTGACACACACTAGATATGCAACAAATTTGCCAAAAAATTATTCTTATAATTTATGACATGCACCCCTCTTTTTTTTTAGCTGGATAATTATAAGAAAATTTCAACAGGAAATTCAGTGAAGTATAGGGAATGAGTCTTAATTTGTTTGACATGCTGTAATTGATTTCACACCCGCTTGTCTTGCCACGTACTGGATCAGCACCAAATTAAATGGACTATAAGGAACAGCGGTTCCCGTTTGTATGAATCCTATATACTGTATACAGTCCTTGAAACTGGGTCCCCTTTAGCTCAACCTTGAGCGGATACAAGTTGAAGGTCAGTGAGTATTTAGGTGGAAAAACCCTGGGAAAGCGGACATTTTTTTATCCCCTTTCGTGTCTCTTTCTCAGGTCATCCTGATTTTCAGGTCCTTGAAGGAGAAGAAAAAAAAAGAGGGAGAGGAAATATATATTCGAGGAAGCCGACGACCCGGTTATTCATTACGAGTCGAGACCAGTTTCGGAGCAGAAATCATCCGTTTCACCATGTCGCTGTATGAAAAAGGTTGGAACAGTCCGAACGTTAGTTTTTTTTTTTTATAAATATCTTTATTGTATTCATTTCGTGTGTGTCTGTGTCTAGTTCAGTGTTGGACATGTTTCTGAAGTCAGTCGACATCGTCAGTCTGCGTAATTCAGTGAATCAGTCAAGTTACTGTTGAACGTATTCGTTTGCCGCGAGACTCTGTCGCAAATAATTTCCCTAGTGTTTCGGATCGTGTTGTATATACTTATGAAGGGAAAAAAAAGGGGTTGTGCTTGTGGTTGAAGGTGATGAAATTTCAACTGCCGAATTCGGGCGAGGAATTTCCGAATGCGAAAATTCGTCGGTGAAATCGAAAACATTCTTTTCTTCAGTATATCGCGTGTGAATACTTGCGAGACTTTCTCTTCTTTTTTATTGTGGGTTTAAATTCTTTTTTTTAGTGTGAGTGAAACTTATCTACTGTTTTTGAAAATTCTTTATCGACGAGGGTTTAATTAATTCGAGTGAAATTTGTATGGGAAATTTGGAAAAAATTAATTTGGCGAATCGTATGAATTTTCTACCTTGAAATCAAGTTTATTTTCAGCATTTTTTTCCCGCTGAATAAAACTTTTAAAGTTCACGTTGTTCAGATATGTTGCCTTCAAAATAAATCATTTTTATCGCATATTTATTACATTAATTAACGAGTGGAAAATAATTGTTTCGCTTCATAATAAATCAGTGGACAATTTCCTTTTTTAAAGTTCACGTTGTTCAGATATGTTGCCTTCAAAATAAATCATTTTTATCGCATATTTATTACATTAATTAACGAGTGGAAAATAATTGTTTCGCTTCATAATAAATCAGTGGACAATTTCCTTAAGATAAAAGGGTTAGTTAATTTCTGAGCGTTGATTTAAATTTGATATCGCATTATAATTTACGGCATGAAAATCATTCGAGGTTGAATTTTAAGAAAATTTTACCTGAACTAAAATTACGAGAAATTTCAATGCTGCGTTTTGAATAAAAATGAAAATTATTTCGCTGAAGATTTTTAAAAATGTGATTTCATGGTTGAAAACTCTGGAAAGAAACAAAATCTAGCCTTGGTTTGTACATTTTCTTCCAGTATCGTAATGATGTATATTGTGCTAATGAATGATTTGCATCATTAAAATTTATATTTCTTCATGGAATTTCTGCGGTATAATTTATACTGAGTTTCCAGAATTAAAATCGTAGATTTTTTTATTAAAAGGGTGAAAAACGGGAACGTGGTTGAATTTTTATACAATACGTTTATTTATTTTATATTAAAAGTCTTTATTCTATACGGACGTATAATTAATGAAGTTTTTTAATTACTTATAATGATCACGACAGGAGAAACTTCCTGATGTTTTGGGTATAGATAAAATCTGGTTGATGAGTGAATCGTCACGAATTAGTCATATTTCCTGATATTGTTCTTCATGTACATGTGCTGTACATTACTTATGATATGGGTCCTGGAATCTGCTTTTTCAATATATTTTATTGCTAGGAGCAGGCAGTTATCAGGTGATGGAGTCACAGCTTATATAGCAAAGCATTATTTGTCCCTAAATTTACAGATTTTTTTTTTGCATTTTGTGAGGCTGATCACAATTTTTGAGATCTAAATAATCTAACCTGACACTTGAATTCAAATTCAGTCTTCCCCAACGATTTTAGACCCACAGACCAGCAAATTTCCAAAACACTTTCTGCAGACTGGCAAAGTTTCATACAGTTTTGCTGACTCAAAAAGCTTTTATTTTAAAAATTGTATGGTATTTATTTGAAAGTTTATTCGTTTTAAAAAAATTCAGTGAGGCACCAATGAAGTAGCTATAGCTGAATTTCATTGGTGGTAAATAAGAAGAAATTGAGAAAGGTGGCCTTAAATAATGAAAAATTAAAATAATTTATTTCATCATGTGAAAATCTTTCTGAATTTTTATCAGGAGAAGAGCCAACTTTTATTTTCATGCTGAGATAATTTCAACTGCCATTATCCTTCCTAAATTTTAGGTGAAGAGTACAGACTTTATCCCTCCTTTCAATAAATTGATTATGCTAAAAAATTGACAATGAGCTGGCAAAAAATGTCTGCAGACTGGTGCTGGTCCATGGACCACAGGTTGGGGAACACTGTCCTAAATAATCATATTAAAATCCCACTTCATTTTTAATGGTGTTATATATTCCCTGAAAATTTGATGAAAATGTTGTGTTCCTTCCTCAACTTTTAATTGTGATGTAATGTTGAAGAAGCAAAATTTGTTCTAGCTGATGCTAGCAGTGTATCACAGCCAAGCAGGAACAAGTAACACTTGATCTGATTTCTCAGATTGGAAGGTGTGCCATGAACTAAAATTCATTGTATTTATTTTGGGGCATTGGTAATGCTGTGGTATTGTGTTTTAACTTTTGTAAGTCTGTGATGAATTTCACCCCTTGGCGCACCTTTCAGCCAGATAAATCAGATCACTGCTCTTTGTTCTTGGGACATGCTCTTGGACCAGCAGAGTGGGCACAAGGTCATCAACTTTGAAAAAGAAAGAACTTGTTCCTTTAGTATCATCAGTAACTTCAGACATTCAGGACCTGAAGGTAGTGTGCTGAGATGCAGTTGAAATTGCAACAATTGAAATTTTTCAAGTACTGAACTGCTTTTTTTCTGTTGAAAATTCAAGTTTCTTCATTCAGTATGCAGGCAATTTTTGGAAAATTCTTGCAGTGCTAAATTTTTTGATAGATACATAAAAGAAGCTTCATTTCCCACTTGTCAGCATTCACAAGATTCAAACTTTTTGAATTGTGGTTCTCATAATTCACAAATTTTAACAATTCTTGAGAAAAGTTGATGAATAATGTCTGGAATTCAGGAGCTTGAAGCAGTGTGAGATGCAGTTGAAATTTTAACATAATCTATTTATTTTTAAAAGTGCTGTTGAAAAATGAGTTTCTTCATTCAATATGAAGGCAATTTCAGGCAAATATCTGCAGTACTAAATTTTTTGAATGTTGGTTCTCATAATTCACCAATTTTGAAATTTCTTGAGAAAAGTTTGAGTAACTTCAAGCATTTATAGGAGCTGAAGGCAATTTGACATAAGGTTGAAGTTGTAACACAATTGATTTTTTATACTAAACTTTCTTTAGTTATTTGTAATGTGTTCTGTTGACATTTCAAGTTTCTTCATTTAAATTGCAGGCACTTTTAGGCAAATGCTTGCAGCGCTGAATTTTTTTTAGACATGGGTCTCATAATTAACAAATTTTAAAATTCCTGGAGAAAAGTTGCTGGTTCAACTTGATTTTGTTCTAATTTGAGTTGCTTGTGATTTATATGTTATTGAAGGTTGTGATATTCCTTGTTTTTTTATCACGCATGTTTTCTTTTTACAACCAATTTTCTGGGACCTAAAAGTAAAACACAAACTTGTTAGAAGGCCATTTATTTTGACTTGATGTATGATGATGATGGAAAAATTTATTTTTTTATGAAATCAGAGGTTCAATGCCTTGATCTCCAATACAGTAGATTATTTCTCTCTCTTAACCAAAGCCATTTGACAAATATTGAATTTCCAAAAAAATTGCCACTGCAATTGCTACAAAAATCCATCAGGGAAAAATAATGGTGGACTTTCTCTACAATTAACCTCACAGGACCAGAAAAAAATTTGTTGTAGAGAATTTTTGTGGTAGAGAACCCCTATATAACATGGGGAGAGAGACAAATGGTGAAAAAAAATTATTATACAGAGAAACATTGTTTCAGACAAGATTGTTGTAGTGAGTGTCTACCTGGTTAAAGTAAAATTAAAAGGTATTTCAGCATTTATTCCCTGTAAGACATGAAGAAAAAAAAACTCTTGTGAACTTTTTACAGTTACTTACGTTCCCTTTAAAAACCTATAAGGAGACCTTTTTGATTATATAAGGTAACCTAAGACCTTAAAAAGATACTTTAAAGAGATATATAATTTAACACGAAATAAAGCGTTTCTGTCTGGACCTTGAAGGAATCCTTTATAATGGAAAATTCGTTCTAACAGTATTCTTTGTACAGAAATATGTAACCTGCATTTTTTAAAGGACTTCAGCCTCGACTTATTTTCCTCATTTTCTCCAGGGCAGTTTTTCATTTTGAATTTTTCCCCCACACACACACACACACACATTTTCGCTGAGTGAAAGGAATCAACCAAAAGATATGCCACGCAGAGACGTGACCATAGACATTCCTCATCATCATCATCATCGGAATGTGACACGTGGTCTGAGTTTCGACAACCCGTCATTCAATGCTGACGAGCAGCAGCAGCAGGAGGAGAACGGCGACGAAAACGACACCCGTCGACAGCAGCGACACCGTCGACGCGGACACGACACCGACGACGACGACGACGACAACAACGTTCATCCCGAAAAGAGTCGCGATGACGGGAAAAAGTCCGAGTACGATTTCGAAGATGACGCTGAAGATGGCAGCACGGGTCTGAGGAAATGGTTCCCGGGTTTGTTTGAGGACTGGAGGGGCAAGGATTGGAGGGACTTTCTGTCGGATTTCGTGCCAGGGATCCCCGTGGGCATTTCCAGTGTGCCCCAGGGCATCGTGTTTGCTGAACTGTCGAATCTTCCTGTTCAGGTACAAACAGCAGCAGAGTTCCAAAACTGAAGAAAGCCAAAATTTAAGCATCAAAAATCGCATTTTAAAAATCATATATACAGTAATGCATCACTCTTTTTTCAATGTACTGTACTGTGATTTTTTTTGGGGTAAAATTTTTTGGAATCAGTGCTAAAATAAACAAGGCAAGTTAACAACATTATATCTTGCCTCAAATTGTAATTGTAATTTTAATTACGCTTCTGAATATTTTAATCACATACTGTAATATGTAGACAACATATGGTTATTCAAGAGAGATAATGGACACAATATTGTTGAGAAATATTTTCAAACAAAGCAGATCATTGTTTGCAATGACATTTCTGAAATTGTTTTGTTTATGCTCATGACGAAGTGAGACCTATACCATACAATTACAGGGTTCCAATTAAAAAAAATTTCAAACATCAAAATAATACCTCAAATCATATTCTTTAATGTAGTTAACTTGGATAATTTTTTGTTTTGGAACCAGTATAAAAAAGCAAGGCAAGTTTACAACAGTTTGTGTTCAGCAACCTTTTTGGACCCACAGACCAGCAAATTTCCATAAATTTTTTTTGCAGACTCAACAAAGTTTTGCTTGAAAGACTTTGACAGGCATTTAAAAAGTTTTCTCATTTTCTGCAAAAATTAAGTTAAGGACCAATGAAGCAGATGTAGTGGAATGTCTTGAAAAAGCAGAAAGGTGGACTTGAATAAGGGTTTCTCGGAATGAAAATTTAAAATATTTCATATCAGCTTTGGAAAATATATCTGAAGCGTTACAAGGATAAAAGCCAACTTTCATTTTTTTTATCAGATGATATAAACTGCCATTGTATTTCCAAAATTTCAGATTAAAATAAGAGACTTCTTTTCTACTCTTGATAAATTCATTTTGCTGAAGAAAAGTTTGGGGAAAATTTCTTTGGACAGTGGGTTGGGGAACACATGCTTTAAAACATTGGATTTTGCCTCAATCTGTAATTTTAATTTGATTAATTTTAAAATTGTTTTGATCCCATAACATGTAGTCAATATTTGATTATTAAAGAAAGATGAGGAGCCAAATTGTGAAGATTTTTTTTTTCAAATAAAGCAGAATTTTTTTCAATGCCATTTTTAAAAAGCTTTATTTAAGTAAAGATTTGTATGTTACAACCCAGCACTTTGGTGGAGGCAGATGTCACTTCCAGTTCACTCATGCAGATCAGTTCTATTCAACACTAGGACAAAAAAAAAATAAGCTTTCATAGCTGCAATCAAGTTCTTCATCCTGATGAAATGTGATGGAATGGCGTTGACTCAAAGTGTGCCTTCATTTCCACAGTATGGCTTGTATGCTGGGTTTGTTGGAGCAATAGTTTCTGCATTTTTGAATCCATTCAAGGAGATAAACACTGGAGCTGTGGCAGCTGTTGCTTTGTTGCTTGGGGCAGCCTGGTAACTAGACGGAGTTAGTTGTCGATAAAATATACGTTTATAGTACACAACGAACTAACCACAACACTGGGACTAGTAACCGAACCGATTCAAACCATTCTTACTCTAAAAAACTATAGGAAATAGTCATTTATCAACAATTTGTCTTCAGTATTCTGTGACCAACCTTCATGTTTTTATTGATGGAGAATAAGATTATGAATAAGATTTTTCATCATAATAAGATTTTTCCTCATAATAAGATTTTTCCTCATAATAAGATTTTTCATCATAATAAGATTTTTCCTCATAATAAGATTTTTCCTCATAAGATTTTTCCTCAAAATAATTCTGATTTGATAGCACATGTTCAGGAAGATCATATTTTCTCATACTTCAGTCTGTTTTTTTTTCAATGGTAAACATTGCACTTCACTTGTTTGATCAGTTAATAAATTCTGCAAACCCTTACTTTTGCAATCAAGAAACAGAATTTTTTACATGTTCTGTCTGAGAAAATTAGATATTGCTGGTTCATGTTCTGTAATGAGTCTTGAACTCAGATGCTGACAATTTTCTTCAAGTTCAAGATTAATTGCTTATGAAGCAATATATATTTAATTGGCATGTAACAAAAGTAGTACAGCACAGTACTTTTTTGAAGAAAGAGATTTTTTAATGTCCTGTCTGAGAAAATTTGATCTTGCCAGTTCATGTTCTGTAACAAGTCTTCAACTCAGATGCTGACATTTTTCATCAAGTTCAAGATTACTGGCTTATGATGCATCACTTGATTTATTGGCATGTGACATGATTTTCATGAATATTTTTCTTACAGATAAATATGTGGATTACTTTTCAACAAGAGCTGTAACTTGTGGAGTGTTTTCTGCTGCTGGATGTTTGACCATGTTGGCGATGGTGCGATTCTTTTTGGGGCTGAATGAAGTCAAGGGACACAATGCAGTACAACTCATAACTAGAATGTATGAAAGCAGTGATGGTATTCGCAAGTATGACTGCATCATGGGGGCCATTTCCTTGGTGGTTTTGATCTTCCTCCAGGTTTGTTTCCTTGTTGCTGAGGGGCCATTTTTGAATTTTTAATCAACAGCTTTTTTTTCTTTGCTCACTGAAGGAAATTGTGAAAGTGAAGTTCTTCTTGTTTCCTGGACCAAAAATAATTTGGCAGACTGTGGCAAAGGTCTTGGGATTCATCTCCTTGTTTCGGACGCCGATTTGGATGGCATCTTGCGGTCTAGTCGCAGACTATGTCAAGAATAACTTTCACTACAAGTACATTGCTACTTCGGGTTAGTTTTTCTCCCCTCCAGATATCATTCTTTCAGCTCACCAACTTTATTCTGTGCGTGAGTGACACCTGTGATAGTCAAGCGCTAACAGTTGTATCTCTCTTGCTTTCACAGATGTCGCTCTTAGAAAAACAAAAGCAAAGTTAATCTCTCAATGCGTTCTTGTCCGCATGTTTAAATTTTGTAATAGTGACACCTGTGATAGTCAAGCGCTAACAGTTGTATCTCTCTTGCTTTCACAGATGTCGCTCTTAGAAAAACAAAAGCAAAATTAATCTCTCAATGCGTTCTTGTCCGCATGTTTAAATTTTGTAAGCAGTGAAATAGTTGACATTAACAGTGATGTTCTACATTCTTCTCATCTGATCTTTTTGTAAAATGCAAGAGCATCTATTTCTTCACAAATATGCTGTGTTATATTTATAGTGAACTCTCTGCATAACAAAATCCATTGCAGGATGCGTCATCATGTAAATGTCAAGCTCTAAATTTTTCTGGGATTCGAAAATGGTTGCCCATATGAAAGGCATATTTCATATTTTTGTGAATGTTTTCATGTAACTCACATTTTCAAAATTATGTTTTGAGAGGCAGGGCCCGTTCTGCAATAATCAAGCTTCAGTATATTTTCAAATATTAACTTGGAAACCAAGTTTCAATTTTTTAATTAAAAAAGTAAAAATAACTAGGAACATATTGTAATACTTTACAATTCTTCAGTTTTGGATTGGGTTTCTTTTTGAGATTGGGATTGGAAATGCCATTGAGAAGTTTGTGCTTGCAGCCCCAGTGAAAAGAACAGGGATTCCAGATCCAGGTTGGCCCTGGGGCCTGGCAAATGAAGTAGTAGACCCAGCTGACCCTGATTATGAATGCAAGGATCCCATCAGGCTTTTGAAAGAAATCTGCAGCACCTGTTTGGGACTTGATTCAATTGTCATTTTGATGGTGTGCCTCATGCAGCACTTGGCTGTCACTAGGAAATTTGGTGAGCACCACTCACATGTCACATGCATTTCCATTGTTTGACAAAATGGGCAAGTTTCTTGGTTGTAGCCAAAGGAAGACATGTGGATGGATCCCAGCACCTGATCAACCTGGGAATAATTCAGGTCATTGGATCATGTTTCCAATCAATGCCAGTGACTGCTTCCTTGACCAGAAGTGGAAACCTGGTTGCCTTTCAAGTGAGAACCAGGGTTGCAGCTCTCCTTACAGGTACAATAATTCATTATTGTATTACCGTATTTACTTGAGTACCATGTGCACCTTTTTTCTCAAATTTCAGAAGAAATAAGGGGTGCACATCATAAGCGGGTACAAATTTTTCAAGAAGTTTTAGAAAGTTCTATGTGTATTATACTTAATCATAATGGAGAAATTTGGAGAAAAAGTGACAAGAAAACTTTTTTGTACTGAAAAAGTTGAAAATTGGTCTGATTTTTGTTAAATTCATGTCTAAAGTCAAACTTTTTGTTTCTATTTTCAAAATTTTGTGGTTTTAGATTCACTTAAAATTGGGGTGCGAGTCATACTCAGGGATACAATTTTAGCCAAATTTCCAACTGAAAAAACCCTGTGCGTGCCTTACTTGAGGGTGCGTGGTACTCAAGTAAATACGGTATTTATCATACTTACTCAAGTTAGACTGTATTTACCAGTGTTCCCCAACCAGTGGTCTGTGGACTAGTGCCAGTCCTCAAAAATGTTTTGCCAGTCTACAAGAACTTTTTGTCAGCACAATACATGTATCAAAAATAGCAATGAAGTCTGTTATCTTTTATCTGAAATTTTAGAATGACAATGATGGTTTAAATTATCTGATGAAAATAAATGTTGGCTTTTCTCCTGATAATGCTTCAGACAAATGTCCAACTGCTGAAATGGATTATTTTCAGTTTTCATCCTGAGAAACCTTCCATCAAGTCCACCTTTGTAATTTTTTGAAGACATTCCACTCCAGCTGTTCAATTGGCTCTGTACTTAGTTTAAAAAAAAAGGCAGAACATTTTTAAATACCTGCCATGAAGTCTTTCAAACACAACTTTCTAAGTTGGCAAAAAAAAGTTTGCTAGCCAGTAATAGACATTTTTGTTCTTGGAAATTTGCTGGTCTGCAAAAGATTCTACAGAAATTTGCCAATCTACTGGCCCAAGAAGGTTGGGGAACACTGCCTTTAATAATATGCAGCATTTCTTAATTTGGAAGTTGAATAATTATAGAGAAGTTTTTTTCCCTCATAACACACATGCCCCAGTTATCACTGACAAATTTTTCACAATACTGTTTAATGATCACAAAAGCTGAAATCATCAGTTTATGCTCAAATGAAAGAAGCAGCCAAAATGCATCTCTTTTATGATTTATCTGTATCCAAGGATATGCAAAAATTTTGGAAAAATGAAAGGAAAGTTTGTTCTGAAGTATGATGTGCACACTTCTTGGTCCCAATACTTGGGAAATAATGCACAGGGTTAAAGCAAATACTGTTTTGTATAGTAATGCATATGACATACAATTCATCCCAACAATTATTTTTGTTAAATCAGATAAAAAGTTGTTATGTAATGAAATCAGACTGAGCTCTTATGTGATTTTCAGCTGTTGTTGTGCTGCTTGCACTTCACTTCTTCACTCCATACATGAGGTACATCCCTAAACCCGCCCTAGGAGGGATTGTATTCTGTGGGATGTTCCCTATGGTGATGCATGAGGAGGCAAAGAAGATGTGGAGAGCTAATAAGAGTGGGTGAATTTTACATTTGAAAAATCCATTAATGTTTTGATTTATACTCTTGATTCCATTTCCCAAACAGGGAATGAGTTAGTTCTGTTTTCTGTCACATTTGTGGGAAGCTTGCTATTTGGAATCAAAGTTGGATTCCTTTTGGGAGTCTGTGGGAGTTTCTTGAACACAGCTGTGCTAGCTGGAGAGCCTGCAATCAGGATTGAAAATCTCAGGGTGAGACTTTTTGCTCAACTCTTTCTTTGCAATTTTTATTTTACAGAGCATGAAATAATTTGATAAAAAATATTTCTACATTAGCTATGTGGAGATAAATCAGTGGCAATACTGAAGCCTTCAGGATCCCTGATTTACCCATCTGCAAACAAATTGGTGAAAATGATCCAGAGGCTCCTGGGTACATTTGACCTGGTGGTCATTGACTGCAGTCATGTCATGGAAGTTGACTACACAGTCATTGACTGTATGCTGAGTAATTTTGGGAAGCTGCAGAAAGTCTATTTTGTGAATGTCACTGAAGTGTTGTTTGCCGGTTTGGCCCAACAGACTGAGTTCATGATATTCAGGGACAAGGATGAGGACTGGATTCAAAGGGGTGAGTTCAAAATTTCCAAGTACTCTTTCATGCTGTTCTTTTTTTTCTTCTGGGCCAATGACCAGATTCCTTCTTCCACATGATCAAAAATACATAATGATCAAGAATTACAGAAATATTCATTCTACAATTTGAAATATCATGATATTTCTTTGAATCTCAAAGAGAAAATCATTTTCCAGATGGCCATCATACTGAAAATGTTGAATTCAACACCCTTGAACTAAGGAATTTCATTGAAATCTCACATGTTGGCTACAATTGGATCTGGAAATAAATTGAGAAATCCACCTTTATTTTAGTATGGAAGCATTTTCCCATTGATGAGTTTCCAGAAGATTAACATCAAATAGGAAGGATACAAAAATGTTGCACTATTGTGTTAAAAAAAATTGATTAGAAGACATAATCATCTGCTTTTTATTCACATTTGAGGTTGCAATTGAAATATTCCTAAAGCAGAAAGATGGGAACCAGTGTTATAAAGGTGCTGTATTTGCAAAATCTGAAGGATAATGACAATGTTCAAGAATAAAATTGCATGATTATCCATTTGCATGCTTGCAAATTTTTAGACAGGAGTACAACAATAAACTCTTTTAATAACTCCCATGGTTCCTCTTCAATAAAAATCAAATGGGTCACACAATTAAAAATTCAATTATTTAATTTTTTATTTTATTGAAGAATATTAATTAAATAAGGAATATATATATCCAAAGTAGTACAGCATATCAATTAATATTCTTGAAAAAACTAAATGAAATTACAGTTTTCAAAAATCATGTCTTTTAAACTGAAATCTATGTTCAGTATATTTTTATGAATACAGATGTGAACCACTGTTGTATTCACAAAATATTGAGCTTTTGAATCTGGTGAATAATGGCAATGTTTAGGAATAAAATTGCATGATTATATTTGCATGCTTTCAAATTTTTAGAAATGAGTACAATAAGAAACACATTTGAAAAATCTCCATGGATTCTCTTCAACAAAAATCAAATGCAGTACGTCATGATTTTCAACCAAACATGTTTTTCAAAGAATTCGCTTTTCAACCATAACCTCATCGGAAAATTTAATTTAAAAAATACAACTTCTTGTTTCCAATTTGTTTCCGCAGTTTCTGAAACTTTGGGAGGAGGGATCAAAGCAGAACACCAACCAGTCACATCATCATCATCTGCACACTCAAGTTCATCTCAGGCTCATTAATTCGGGCTGAAATATGAAACCGATTTGCTGATGATGTTGCATCTTTTTTTCCTCCCCAAAAAAGCTCGTCAGCGCTTATTTAAAAAATAATAATTCTCTCCATTCGTTTGGAAACGACGAGTCGTTCTTGTATATTATTGGGGAGGAAAAATAAATTTGCTGTGAAGTTGTTTTATTTTCCGGGAAAGAAGAAACATTTAAGTGCTTGGATGCGTTATATGTGAATATGTCTTTCACGCGAGCCTTTTTAGCAGTGGATTCGAACGTACAGGCCAGAGATTTATTTTTATTTTGAAAAAAAAACTCGTCTTCATTTATTTCCAATCGTTGAGAAATATGGGTTTACAATTCACATCATAAATAAAGACGAATAATTGTTTAATATAAGATTGAACGAAATGCTACACAAATTCTCTTTAGAATCAATATTATGATGCAAACTCTTCATCTGAGAAAATTTTGTAAATACACCCCGAAATTAAAAAAAAAATTAATAAACTGAAGTTAAATATACAGTAACTATATTTTACGCATGCTGGTACTTATACAAGATATTGTAAATTTATATTAATTCAATCATTGATTTTGGGGATGGAGAGAACGCACCAGGAAATTTTTTTTTTTAATCACAAAAAAATTAAGTTCCGCAACGAAAGATTTTTTTTTCTGGCCATAAAAGAAAAATTCGGAGGCATCCAGGTCTTGAATTTTATATTAATATCTTGGTCTTATCGCATTACGAGGCATTGCTTATCTTTTGCTTTGTGTTCGCGCTTCTTACGAGAATTACTTTTCTATAAGATAAAGACAAGAGATAAACGAAGCCACCACAAAGTCAAGTGCTCAATGAAACAGTTTGTGACACACTCACTCAGTCCTTTGTTGAGATACACTTTGAGAAGGTGCTGTGATGCATGCGATCCTGGCGAATTAAAAAAATCACTATTTAGTGGCATTTTAGGTCATTACAGTACCTGAATGGAATATTCGGTGCACATTTCACAGACAGTTTGAATTCTGTTGATGTCAATTGAAAAAAAGGGTCCTGGCAGAAATGCTTTAGAAAAACAAGGCTAAAATATAATTTAATACTTATGGGATTTTCCAAAGTTCTACTGCGAATAATTTACAACTTTTTGGTGAGATTTCCGCAGTTTTTGTTCCAATTCTTGGAATTATGAACTTTTCTAATTTGTGATACTCTTGGATAATTTTTTTTAGCAGCGTTAAACTTCTAAAAACCCCATTTGGGAATGAATTAATTTTTTTGCCCAGACCCACTACAAAAGATAAAAACCTTCTTACATCCTCACAAGATACCGTATTTACTCAAGTACCATGTGCCCTTGAGTAAGGCGCGCACAGGGGTTTTTCAGTTGAAAATTTTGAAAAAACCTTATCCCCTAGTAAGACGCGCACCCCAATTTTTAGTGAATCTAAAACCATACAATTTCAAAAATAAAAACAAAAAATTTGACTTCAGGCGTGAATTGAACAAAAATCTGATGAATTTTCAACTTTTTCAATACAAAAATGTTTTCTTTTTATATTTTTTCCAAATTTCTCCATTATAATTGAGTATAATGCAAACATAACTTTGTAAAACTTCTTGAAAATTTTGTACCTGCTTATGACACGCACCCCTTTTTTTCTTCTGAAATTTGGGAAAAAAGGTGCGTGTGGTACTTGAGTAAATACGGTATTTGTTCCGAACCTCTTTTTTGATGCACAAAGAAAATTTAATTTTCAGAATGCGAAACTATCAATTATTTTTGCTACATTTACTTGAAAAAAAAAAATTCTGGATGAACCAGTGAGTGAAGAGAGAAAAGAAGAAAATGAATGGAGCTGCTTGGTCAGTGGCAGAGGACCTGCACTCACTCATTCTTATAGATCCCAATTCATCAAGTCCTTCAGCAACATAAAATTCTGGATGAACCAGTGAGTGAAGAGAGAAAAGAAGAAAATGAATGGAGCTGCTTGGTCAGTGGCAGAGGACCTGCACTCACTCATTCTTATAGATCCCAATTCATCAAGTCCTTCAGCAACAGCCCCAGGGATAATCAGTCATCAACAGCCTGCTTTCAGAAATAATGTGCCAGTTGCAAGTTCTTTGGCATCCAGCAGTGGACTTCCGTATTCTGCAAACAGCTCCAGAGTCTCCACACCATTGTTGCCAACTTCTGGCAGCATTTCTGGTTCTTCTTATCCAAGGAAGGCGAAAATCTCTCTTGATACGTTCCCAGCTGACGTCCTGAGGGTAAGAGAAAGATAAATGAGAGACAGTCATCATTAATGATCTCGTTATATTGATTATTATTAACACTTTTGTGAATTTTGCTTATCATTCAATAGTCAAACGATGATAAGCTTGACATATATTGCACAAAGCTGAAATTAAAAGAATGCTTCATATGCTGATGATCCAATTTTTTCATGCAAATGAGTTATCTTGAGCATGATCCAATTCCAATAAAGACAGCCAAAATCAATTAATTCTTCACATTGATTATTAAATGTGATTCATGAAAAATCGATTTGAAATGTTTGTGAATGTTGTTTGTCATTCAATAGTCAAATAATCAGTAGCTTGACATATATCATGCAAAACTAAAATGAAAAATGCATCATATGCTGATGATTCAAATTTTTCAAATGTTGATAAATTTTTTAAGCATGACACAATTCTAAAATATACATAATTTCATGAAATATCAGAAAAGTCAGCTGAGAAAGTGTAAAATGTTTTAAAACTGTGTGTGATATACTGCACAGCAAATGGATTCACTCAGAGGACTGGGAATTTTAACGGATGTGGATTTGTTGGTGGAGTCAGAAACTTTCAGTGCTCACAGGATTGTTTTAGCTGCAGCATCACCTTATTTCAAGGTACGTCAAAAGTATCAAAAATATGATCATGTGGCTTGATTCCTGAAATATACCAAGCAGAAAACCAGTCAATGCCAAACTGTCATAAGAGATAAACAAGTTTTGGTACCTATTTTGATATTTTTCATATCTAAAGCATGAATACCCTGAATGAAACTAGCTTAGGGGAAATGTCAAAATAGTGCACTAAAGACCCACAGCAATTAACAAAATTTGAGCGCCATGAACAATTCCTCAGTTAACAAATACAAATTTAATTTGAACAAACATAAAAGGAGGGTAGACTTTTATTACAAAAAGAAATATCAGCAAAATATTTTACATGAAAATCTTTCTAGTGAACACATTTTTTAATTGAAGAAATTTTCAGTTAACAAGCCTTTTCAGAAAAGGAACTTCCCAGTTGAGAAAATTTCCAGTTAGGAAACTTTTGAGTTCAGAAATGTTTTACTCAACAATACAATAGTTATGACCAGTGAAGAAACTTTCCAGTGAAGAAACTTTTCATGAAGAAACTTTCCAGTTATGAAACTTTCCAGTTATGAAACTTTTCAGTTATGAAACTTTCCAGCTATGAAACTTTCCAGTCATGAAACTTTCCATTTATGAAATTTCCAGCTATGAAATGTTCCAGTTATGAAACTTTTCAGTAGAAAAACATTTGTTATGAAACTTTTCAGTAGAAAAACATTTGTTATGACACTTTTCAGTAGAAAAACATTTGTTATGAAACTTTTCAGTAGAAAAACATTTGTTATGAAACTTTTCAGTAGAAAAACATTTGTTATGAAACTTTTCAGTAGAAAAACATTTGTTATGAAACTTTTCAGTAGAAAAACATGTGTTATGAAACTTTCCAGCTGAGAAACTCCTCTATCAGAATGGCAATTGAAGAAATTTTCTGGTGAAGAGACTTTCTGGGTCAGGACTGTTCATACAGAGCCTGTGAAGAGACTTGGCAGTGAAGAAAACTGCCAGTTAAGAAACTTCCCAGTTAAAACCATTCCAGTTAAGAAGCTTTCCAGCTAGTTGAGAAACTCTTTGATCAAAAACACTGATGACCATAGAAGAAACTTCCTGGTGAAGAAAATTTCCAGTAAAAAACCTTTTTAGTAATCAATGCCAATTGAAAAGATCGGGATAGTTAACAGCAGGGCTGTTGCTTACATTTTCAGCAGAACTTACTCATTTCCTTTTCCATATATTAGGCCATGTTTGTAGAAGGAAGGGAACAATGTGACCACGGGAAGCTAGTGCTCAAGGGAATCTCTGGCAGTGTGATGGCTGACTTCCTCAGGTGCCTCTACACCGGCGAAGTGTTCCTCAGTCAAAGCACTGTGTGTCAACTCTTGTCAGCTGCTGTCATGTTCCAAGTTGCCCCCTTGCTGGATGCTTGTTGCACTTACTTAACCTCACTCTTGGACTCTGGAAATGCCATTGGAATCGCTGCTTTTGCGCAGAGACACGGATGCGAAATACTCCACCGACATGCTGTGCAATTCATTGAGCGCCACTTTGTTGCAGTTATGTCTGAAAAATAAAATAAACTTATAAATTGCAGTGGTAACTCGGTTAACAGACTTTCTGTTGAACAGATCAAGTCCTTTACCTGGTCAGCAATTCAAATATGGACACAATGGCTCATCCATTCCAGGTCTTTTTGAAATATCTTGAATACATGTGTTAATATAGGGTATAATGAATTGAAGAGAAAAATATCAAGCTCAATCAATAATATAAAAAAAGTCCATCCATTCAAAAAATGAGACAGCAGCCATATTCCTCTCACCAATTTTAAATTTATTACAAGGACAATGCATTTATGCTGTCTATTATCCAAAGCATGGTCCACTACCTGCAGCAAAAAATGGACTGCAGTGTCAATTCTCTGTGAAAAAGTACATTATCTGGGGTATTATTGAAATCTTCAAGAGGAGATGAAGGTTGAATGTTGTTGAGAAGCATACAGTCAAAATAAATGTGGAATCATGATGAATCCAGAGATGCATGAGCTTCTTCCAAAGTTCAGAAAAAATATAACATTCATTGTTTGTGTGTTTTATAATTACTGTGATTTAATTGTATTTTTGCCAGTTCTCAAACAATTATAAAATAAATATGAAGACATGAAATGATCCCCAGTGCAGTCCAAATGTTGCCTTGAAGTGCAATGCAGATTGTGTCTGTGCTCAAAAATCAGAAACCTCTGGTGAGCAGTTTCAAAATCATACACATGATGCAAAAACATGGAATCATAGTGAAGTTCAAATCTTTAATATTGCAACATCAGAAAAAAATATAGTTTGAATTATTTTGTTTTCAGGTCAGCCACTCCATGGAGTTTCTAGAGTTACCCTCACCTAGAGTAATGGAGATAATCAAGAGCAGCAACTTGAACATAGCAGAGGAGCGCATAGTTTATGATGCAGTCATGAGATGGGTGAAGCATGATGAAGGAACAAGAACTGAGAAGGCAACAGCTCTTATGAAGGTACAGTATTTCTCTTCCCTATGAAAATTATCCGGTACTTTCCTGTTATCTCAGTACCTCATTCCTAGACCGCACTACCATCCAGACAAATCTTTGGGACAAGTTCATTATCACAACAACCTACCAGAAACTGTGAATTTTATTTTTCTGCATTCTGCTGAAACTGATTTTGGGAGACAGTTAGGTAAAGTTAGGTTAGGTCAGGTTATTTCCCAAAATCAGTTTCAGCAGAAACCCAAAGAAAGCAGAAACTGATTTTGAGAGGCGGTTAGGTGAAATTAGGTTAGGTCAGGTTAAATTGGTCAGAGGGGAGGTACAGAGATAACAGGAAAGTAGGTACTGAGATAACAGGAAAGTACCAATTATCCTCTGAGAATTGTCATTCTTCAGTGGAATCTTGGTTAAAGAAATATTTAAGAAAATTGTCACAGCAAATATTGTCACAGTATATCTTCCCAGCCACCAATCCAAGTTCAGCTCATCTTGTTTAAAATGGTGTGAAGCCAGACACTGTTATAAAGTGAGCTGATCCACTGTGAGATAATCAGCCATCTCAAACATTTGAAAAAATTAGCTTGCAAAGGTAGTCACAAGAAAAAAGTTATATGCACTAAACATTAGACTATCTTCTGTTTATATGAGAACTGCCAGCAAATCCTCAAAATATTTATTGGGTTAAAAATGCTTACTCGTTGATTTTAAAATGTTGAAATTCAATATAAAGTATAACATATTGTTGGGTCCTGATGATATTCTGTTGTGTAGAGCAGTGTTCCTCAACCTTTTTGCAGACTGGCAAATTTCCACAAAATGTTTGGAATACTGGCAACTTTGCATAAATGTTTGCAAACACAAAACATTGACTCTCAAGACTTATTTATGGCAGATTTTTTAAAATTTCCACAAATTTTTGCAAAAATCAAGTTAAGATCCAATGATACAGCTATAGTGGAATGTCTCCAAAGATTAGAAAGGTGGGAATGTAGAAAAAGTTTCTCAGCATTTAAATTTAACATAATTTATTTCAGCAGGTGAGAATTTGTCTGAAATGTACATCAGAAGAAAGGAGAAAAGCAAACTTTTATTTTTCATCAGATAATTCAAACTACCATTGCCTTTCCAAAATTGCACATAAATATATGACTTCATTATTGCTACTTCTGATCAATTTATTCTGCAGAAGAAAATTTCCTGTGGACCACAGGTTTGGAAACATTGGTATAGAGAATATCACTTCAGATTTCAAAGGAAGTATTTTAAAAGAAAGTTTTGTCTGTTTCTACATAAGACTTGTGGAAAATGTTGCTATCTACAGCACTATTTTGTAATTTTTCATTTTTCAGGGAGTCCGCTGTGAACACTTGCCAGAAACCTTTCTACAAGACCAACTAAAGCGATGTGCTTTGATCCAAAAAAGTCCCAGCTTAACTGGCTATTTGGCTAGAGTTTACCAGGACATCAGGGACCAGCACAAGCATGGTAGTACAGAAAGTGCTTCCTCACACTTGATTTATGTTGTGGGAGGCTACCAGAAGTCTGCAGTGAATGTGGTTGAGTGCTGGAACCCAAAGCATCCCAATTGGGAGTCTGTAGAGGGACAGTGGAATCCTTGTTCCCCTTTGCCAGAGCCCAGGTCAGGCTGTGGAGCTGCTATTTTGCAAGCAAGTTTTTCTCATATTGTTTTTCCCAAAATATTTTTTTTAAACAAAAACTTTTTACCAAAAAAGACAGAAATTAAACCTGGTCAGAGTACATTCAAATCATGTAATTATTTTAATCCAGCAAGTTGCATCATGTATTGCCTACCAATTTTTAAAAATTATCTTTAAAGAAGCTGGGAAGCTTGATTTGGTATAAATAGGAAGTCAATTTTTTTTCTTGTACAATTTTTTTTCAGTCATGTTATGAGCAATGAACAAGAACCTAATTTTTTGAAGAAAAAAAAAGCTGGAAGCAAGGAAAAAACTTTGTTTGAATTTGAAAGGGAAAAACTTTGTTTGAACTTGGAAGGGAAAAACTTTGTTTGAACTTGAAAATGCAAAAAAATTTAAAGCTACAAAATATAATCCTATCTTGAATCAATTTCAACTAGCTGGGCTCTCAGATGGAGCATACTGTTATTTTCTTATTTTTTAATGTGTCGTAATTTTAATTTCAAATAGGGAATACTTTATGTTGCTGGAGGAAGGATTTACAAGCCATCAGCTGGCTCCTATGTGGACACAGATCGCTGTGATGCTTATGATCCCTATACTAAGAAGTGGACCAGGTGCACAAACATGCTCCACAAACGCAACAGACTCGGTTTGGTAACACTGGATGGTTTCATTTACGCCGTTGGTGGATGCGACAAGAGCTGCTTTTTGAGATCTGCTGAAAGGTTTCTCCCTCTTTAATTCACATGGATTTTAAAAGAAAATCTTGAAGATAAAATACTGCCTGGAGTTTTTATACAGTCATCACTTTAAAGAATACTGAAACAAGAGGCTCTGCAAAAGTTGATGAATTTTTGCGCCGATTCATCAGACAAAATTTTGAAATCATGCAAAAATTTCTTGAGGAAAAAATTCATTTCGTCGCTGAGATTCAGTACTATCATTTTTTCTATCCTTCATTGCAACTTGGCAGACATTTAAAATTGTATAAATTGGTTTGACTTTGCAATATAATAACTAAAGGAATCTGGAAAATTCACTGAATTGCAGTAAAAGCATGATTATGTGATTTTCTAGCATAAATGTATATTATTATACTAAGAGAAGTGGATCAAAAGTGGTATTGCCAAAGTTCTCAAGATACATTCCTTAGCTACTCAGTTTAATTTAAACCTAAATCCCTTTAATAAATGAAGAATGAAAAATAGGACCCACAGCAACATGTGTTTATTTGCTTAATGATTTTTAAATACAGACCTGACTTGGGAACCATATAATGCTCACTAATTGCCATTCTAGACAAACCCTCACATTCATCATCAACATTTTCAGAATTTAAAAAGCAACAACACAGACTTCTTTCACTGGAGTTTGAATATAAAATCTGGCAAACTATCATTAAAAGTACTGCACATTAAAATATCTGAAATAATGTGCTGCACTGTATCTGATGCCATGCATGGAGATGTATGTAGAAATATGTCATTAATTTTTGAAATTTGAATTCATTAATGCAATCCCATCTGTCCACTTTAGCTCAAAGGTTCCCCAAATGATGATTTCATTCATGAAAATACAACAAAAATGAAATTGTTACCTTCTGGGAAACATGAAATGTGTATTTGACACCATAATCAAAGATTTACCATTCAGCTTTTTTGTTAGTCAATTTAAATTAATTCAAATTTTATGGATAGTCAGACTTCAACCAATATGCTGCAAAAGATTCCATATAAGACGTTGAATTCTGATGTATGATGAATGGTTTTCATGTTCAGGCAAAACTGCTTGGAAACTCATAAATCATGCCATTGACTGACAAACTGTATTTTCTTAAAAGTGATGCCGTGCACTTGATTATTCTTTTTATTTCAAAATGGGTGAAAAATATTTCACAATAACTGTCAGAAAATGGTGAAAGCTTTCATTGTACAAAAAAAAATGCTTCCAGAAAATCCCATAGTAAAGTGGATTGTAGGTTTATTATTGTACTCCTTTTTGAGTTCAGAGTAAGCTAACTCCTCTCACTCCAGAAGGTCATGAGGTTAACCAGTATAATTGACCTTCACTGGTCTTTGAAGGAACCTTTAAGAGGTTTCCCTACTCTACACCATATACAGTACATCAATAAAAGAAATCCACTGGACTGGCAAGACTTGAGATCCCACTCTCTGAAACCCTCTCCAATAACCAAACGAGAAACCTTGTCACATTTTGCATTGCTTCAATATATTCCTACATTTTCTTCCAAAAAAAAATCAATCTCAGATACGACCCAACCAGAAACGTGTGGGACAGAATTGGGTGGCTCATCACGTCCAGAGTTGGGGCTGGTTACGCAGTGGACAAATTCATTTACGCAATCGGGGGTTTCGATGGCGCAGACAGACTGAAATCAGTGGAACAATACGACCCCACAACCACTCAGTGGAACTTTGTGGCTTCCATGAAGGAAAAACGCAGTGGAGCCGGTAAATAGACAAGTTTTCCAACAAGATGTCACCCCTGTACCCCTTGATTTCTAAATCTCCCAAGATTTTGCATAGGTGTCGCCCCCGCTGTGCTAAAATTACGATTGAGCCTCCATAAGTCAAACCATTCCAAGTCAAATACCCCAACTCAATTTTTTTTCCAAGTCCCTGACGGAAATCCATTAGAAACAATGAATTATTTTGGAGGGGTTGAGTTTAAGAAGAAGAGAGTTTGGAGACATTCAGTTTAAACGACTCCGGAAAACTAATGATAAAGAAACTTTATACTTTCTCTTTTTAACTATTGTGTTTACTAAAGTACGTAGTTGAAAGGAAGTGAAAGACTAATAAAACAAATGAACCCTAGCTTCAAAGTTCAGCAAGCTGTAAAATCACCAAGAAGCGAGTTTAGGCTTAAAAATATCCTCATTTACAATTTCCTGAAATTATTATGTTTTACTTATCCTTGCAGCAAAAATGATTGTTTCCTCAACTCAAAACCTACAAAAATCAAAGCCTACCCAATTCAAAACCTCTCAATAAGTCAAATTTTTTTCCTGGTCCCTAAAAATTTGACTTAGAAAGGTTCAACTGTAATTGTATATCTTAGGTGAAAGCTCATTAGACAGAAGAACAGTACATTGGAGTATATTGGAATCCTAATTTAAAAAAAATCTTGTTCTAATATATATCCGAAAACTATTATATTTAATTAACTGAGATTTAATTTAATTTCCAGGTCATTTTTCAAGAGTCACAATGTCATTTGGATTTCTTCATAACTATTTTGCTACGCCGTTTCTTCTGCTTCAAATGGATTCAATGTAACAATCTCCATGCGCAAACATGTAAATTATGCCATACTTTATAATAAAGCTACACTACAAATTATGGCAATAAAAATGCCCCTTTGTGTATAGAATGTGATGCAGAATTTGCTTGAGCTGAATTCATGTCATCAAAAGCTATGGCAACATGAAATCTTAAAAAGGTGGCATATGTTATCATTCATCAGTGATAGATAACCACTGCCGAATAATTGGGGGAAATTTTTAATATGCAGCGACATCTATACTTTAATTTTATAAATCCCTTTGATAATTTTTTCGAAAATGGCAAGAGGCTATCAGATTTACCTTTTAAACTTCTCGAGATGGTTATTCGATGTTCGTAGTTCTCCAATGCGACTCTGGAGAGTCACAAAATACCTCCAGAGCATCAACATTGATTTTTAGCACTGACAGCACCGATTTTTAGAAATTTCCCAAAAATCGCAAAAGATGGAAACTTTCGGAAGACCGAATCAATTTCTTTCAGGCGTGGCAGCAATGGGTAAATTTATCTACGTCTTCGGAGGATTCGACGGATCCGCACAACTGAACACCATAGAAAGATACGACATTGCTCAAGATGTCTGGCATTGTGTGGCCGTCATGAATTCTCCTCGTTCAGCCCTTGCAGTTTGCGTCGTCAGTGACAGAATTTACACTATTGGTAAGCAAAAAATGAAATAAAACTCAATCTCATATTGAAAATGACAGCGGTTAATCAATTTTTTAAAGGAATGTACGGAATTTTTACGGAAAAAAGAAAATTGCAGCCGACTGGTCCCCTACGATAGAGAACAGAGCTGCGCTGTTCTCTGTATTATAGAGAATTGGCACAGCTTCTGCTCTCTATATGGCGCAGCTCTGTAAAAAATACATGTGAAAAATACTCTGTTCTCTATATGTTATTGTTAATTAAAATTTCCTTAATCTTTTATTTTGGATGCATTGTTCATGGGATTTCAAATTTTCTAGTTTCAATTTTTTTAAGTATTTTTAAATGCTGTATAGTGTATATATAATGTGCCATTTCTCAGTTTATTACAGAGCTGCACCACATAGCCCTACGTTCCATGATTTACTTCAAAGTTACACAGGTGTTGCCCTGCGTTATGGCAAATGACAGAGGACACTCAGGGGGAAAAAAGTACTTGTTACGCAGGCATGAATAATGTAATTTTAGAATACTGCTTAATTTGGATGCATAAAACCCTTGCATGCATGTTATTCAAAATGTTATAAATATATAATTCTGGGATCTAGTCCAGTGTAGTATATTACACCCATTCTGCAAAATCTCCACTTTGTCACTCAGACTTTCCAGAGGTCTAGATTCAATAAAAAAGTGTTCCCCAACCTGTGGTCCACAGACCAACGCCAGTCCACAAATGTTTTTTGCTGGTCCTCAGGAAATTTTCAGCATGATGAATTTATCAAATGTAGCAATGAAGAATTATAACTTTATCTAAAATTTTGGAAAGACAATGGCAGTTGAAATTATCTGATGGAAAATAAAAGTTGGCTTTTCTCCTAATAAACACTTTAGACAATTTTCCCCTGCTGAAATCAATTATTTTAATTTTTCAGTCTGAGAAAAGCCCACCTTCCTAATTTTTTTATGACATCCAGCAATATCTGCTTCATATTGGTGCTCAACTTAATTTTTGAAAAAAGGAAACTTTTAAATGCCTGCCATTTAAAAGCATTTGAAGCAACACTTTTTGATTCTGCAAAAACATTATTAAACTTTGACAGTCCACAGACAATTTTTGGGGAATTGCCAGTCCACAAAGAATTTCATGGAAATCTGCAGGCCCAAAAAGATTAGGGAAGGCTGCTATAGAAGACCAGAACCAATCTGTCACTCCACATGGATTTACATCAACTTGGTCCATGAGTTGAAGACAGCGGAACACATTCAGTTCATTAACCGGAACACTACTGTACTACATACCTGTCTTTTTTTCTCTTCTTATGTTGCCTCTTTCGCAAGGTGGGTATGATGGACAGGATTTCCGGTCCGACGTGGACATTTTTGACCCGGCGACCCAAAGTTGGGACTCGGGATTGTCCCTGAAATTCCCCAGATCTGGTCACGCAGCAGCTGTGGCATTCGGAATGGTTCGCCGTCATAATAATGGGATGACCAGTAGCAGCATCAGCAGTGGAGAGTCCAAGAATCACAGCAGCAATGCCGGACCCAACAGCGACAGTCCGTTGTTCGAACTGATGAACGAAGACGACGTTGATGTCGACATTCGACAACATAACAACGCATTGGTCGATGTGAAAACCGTCTTTCCATTATTGTAAAAAAAAGTTTTCCTTGATGATGAACGCGTGGAAAAATGGAATCGTGTACAGCATACTGTATAGTAATCACACTAACCCTTTTTTCTCCCCACAAAATTTTTTTTCACATTGAAAGACCGGCAGGAACCCTATTCAAAAAATAATGAACACCTCGCGTGATTAATTCTTAGAACAATGGAGTTGGGCTACAAAAATGTCCTACTTTCAATATTCGACCAGGTTTGGCATAATAAATTATATTAAAAGGAACAGTCCATAAAATCCTATTTATTTAGTAATTTATTCAAGATTTTTAGAAGAAAATTTTTCAAGGATCAAGGATTAGCCATTTCATATACAATACTGTTCTTTACATACAGAGCCTTGTTACATCCTGCAGTATTTTGGTACAGTCAAACTCAAGCAATAGGAAGCAGGAAAAAAAATAAATTGGGATAGTTTTCAAATTAGAGGATTAGCCTTTTTTTTTAGAAAAAATTGGTGCAATAATCAGAAGGTAAAACTTCTGTTCTTTTGGGACTCAACCTGTTGGATAAATAAGATTACAGAAAGCTGAATTTGAGAACAAGTGAATAAAATTTTCTCAAGTTAAAGAAACCAGTCCATTTATGTTGAAAAAAATGTTAGAATAACAAGAAGATACAATTTTTGACGTTTTGGAACTCAAACTGGCATATGAATGAGATTACAGAATGCTGAACTGGAAAACAAGGGTACAATTACCCAATTAGTACCTCACTTCCTTTTAAAAATGAATCTAGATTCATTCTCACCTCAAAGGAAAAGCAATCACCTCTGTAAGGCAAAAAGCACTTTCTTGTCAATAACTGAAAATCAACCTGCAAAAAATTACTTCCAAGAAGACCCTGTAACAAATTTTAACAGAAATTAAAGTGGAAATTAAACGATGAGCCAATAATTCCGACAATTCCGCGGGGAACAAATTTCATTACGCCTTTCCATCAACGCGATCACCAACAAAATTCAGAAATCCTTTCTTTTCCATCGCATTTTTTTCTCTTTTTTAAAACCCAGACACTTTCTTCTTTCTCCTCCTCGGGTTGTGACTTTCATTCGGGTTCCTTTTTGTAAACTGAGCAGGTGTCGAGCTTTTAGAACCCCCGGGGCCTCGTCGAACGTAACCCTTTTGGGCGGCACGCGAGTAAACGTCGTTGACGGCAAACGGAGACTCGCCAGCGACAAAATCTGGATCCAGAGCCAAGTAAAAGACGTTTCTGAAGGAACTTCCAGAAACAACTCCTTTAGCAACAGGAAGTCGTTAATCCCCCAACACTCTCACGAAGGGAGGAAAGCCGTAGCCGTTGCTTTTGATGCCTTCTTTTTATAATGTACATTAATTCTGGTATTGTTAAAACGAATCAATAGATCATAGATCATCACAAACATAGGCGATGTATTGCTCAAGTCCAGGGACGAGGGTTGGTTCATAAGTCTTGACAGAAAATTGAATAAAATACAAACACAAATATTCGGCGAACTTTATGAGAAAATAATCAACAACTGGCTCGAAAAATCAAGAGTGCGCATCAAATTGAGTAAATTCAGTTTCATTTGTTAAAACTCTCGGATGTGCAGGTTTTAGTGCATTACAGCATAGTATTAATTTTGGCCGAGCTAAATTAGCGAGCACCGTTTTTTTTTGACGGCAAAAGGGGCACCATCTATGCGCGTCTTTTAAAAAATTTCGTGATTTCAAAAAAAAAATTACCGTAGGAGGCGTAGGTTCATCATTTAAATTCAACAATTACAATACTGTATTTCGCAATTATTTTCAATCAAGAGCCCTTCTTCGATCACTTTTTCAATCAACTTCATTTTAATGCTGCTCATGTGCTTCTCCATAGAAATTTTCATTTGTTAAACTTATGAAACCTGTTTTAAAATGCATTCGCATCAAATTTTTTGGAGCACAATTTTGCTGTACAACATTTTCAGCTTTCTTGTGGCCAGGCATGTCGGTACTGCAGTATTCTTATCTACTCTACAATGCTTCCAAAAGGGGCCTCGAGTACAATATTGTACTACTGTACCAAAATGTTTTTCTTCGGAATGCATTCCTTCTTTCAAGAACGCTTTCCCTGGAATAAAAAATAATCTGAGAAGTAGGACATGAAACCAGCAAGTGTTCCCGAAAAAAATTAATACAGGTGAAATTCTCCAGTCTCCACTTCGAAATTCCAGGGACCAGGAAAAAATTCGTTTTAGACAGAATTTTTTTGTAGAGAACCATTGTGACATAGTTTGAGAGCCCTTTGAGACGGAAAAAATTCTGGATACAGAGAAAATCATTGCAGAAAAGATCATTTGTCCATACAGTACTGTATATCTACTCGCATGTGCTATTTTTATAAAACCAGCAGCCAAACCGAAACTTAATCAAGTGATTAATTATTTCAACGCTGCTCTTCTGAAAAAAAAAAAACTCGTTTCTTTTCGTTCTCTCGCACTTACCCTTAATCCCCGCAGACTCAAAGGTCGCTTAGACAAGTGGATTTTCCGGGATCCGTCAGGCAACACAGTGACCCCGACTCTTTTGAGTGTCTTGTTCCCACAGTGGAAA